TCTTTCTTTCTTTCTTTCTTTCTTTCTTTCTTTCTTTCTTTCTTTCTTTCTTTCTTTCTTTCTTTCTTTCTTCAATTGGGGTTCAGTGATTTGCCCTGGGTCACACAGTTAGTAAATGTCAAGTGTTTGATCTGAGGCTGGATTTGAACTCAGGTCCTCCTGACTTCAGGGCCGGTGTTCTATCCAATGCGCCACGTAGCAGCCCCTGTCCTTTGTTTCTTGAAGAGGACCAATGACATCATGATTGATGTCTTAACTCCTGTGTGAATTGGATCTAAGTGAGGCAGAGCTGCACAAAGTCTTCAGCCCCCCTCTGTCTTCCAGAGTCATCAAAATCCAGTGGCAAGACAAAAGTCAGGATGACCGACGATGGCCCAGGATGACCTTGGAGTCTTCCGCGTCTGACCAAGCTCTCCCCTGCTGCGGTCACCTTCCCAGCCATTGGAACAAATTGTTCTCACCGGCCCATTCCTCCAAGGGAAGTCTTCACGTGCTTGGGTAGACATCCCCCTAACTCACCAACTTTGTGTCTGCTGTATCTTCTCTGGCTATAACTTCTGGGAGCCACAGGTGAGAGTTGGGTGAAGGTGGACACTACAGGAAGATGAGAAGCCCTGAAGAGACTTCAACAAGCCCCCAGACAGAGGCGCTAGTTCTCCTTAAACAGCCCATACGCCCCACTGGTGGAGTTTCATTGGATGAGAAGAGGTCCATTGATAAAAGGTGGGGGATTGCTAGGTTCAAGGTCTTTCTGCACGAAGGCCAGGCCCTCACCTTCCTGGCAGATAACGATGCTGGTGGGGGGATGGGGAGATCAGGTAAGGACTGAGCAAGAGATGGCGTGTCCCTGACATGTAGCAGCAAGAAGGAGGAGGCGAAGGCATTCGGTCAGTCAGTAAACAGAGGGATACAGAGAAAGGCAAAAGACGGTCTCTGCCCTCAAGGAGCTACCTGTCTAGTCTTGAGGGCTTATCTGACACCACCCCCCTTTTCTGTGCTTTGCCCCCTGTGGCAGCCCACTTCAAATAACCTTGGGTGGTTTTTTTCAGAGGGGATGAATTTACACAAATTCCCTTAGGAGTGGATAGAGCACCACCCTGGAGTCAGGAAGACCTGAGTTCAAATCCGAATTCAGACACTTGCTTACTAGTTGTGTGACCCTGGGCAAGTCACTTAAGCCCATTGCCTAGCAAAACAAACAAACAAATAAACAAATTCCCTTAGGAACCCTTGTTGGGATGCATCAGAAGTGCCAACTATGGGCACTTTTTTGGGTGCCCGTATGGGCAGCCTTTTCTTTTGTGGTCTGGGAAAGTGTAGGGGGAACTAAAGAGCAGAAGCTAGTCACCCCTAAAGGAGCCTAGGCTTCAGATGGGGAGAGATTGCCCCAGGAAAAGGACTGGAATGACCCAAGCACCCCTCTATTCAATTATCCAATTCAAGAGTTACATAACTGGCTACTTAAAAAAACCCACACACTAAAAGACAGAGCACTGGCAGCCCTGCCAGTTCATTAACCCATGCTAATGAGAGGCAGGTTCTGGCCTGCCCTGCCCAATGGGCCCAAGGGACCCCACCCTGCTGAGCCAGATGGCACCGCCCTCGGCATGGCTCCCTGTTTCCACATAGGGAAAGGAAGGTAGAAGAGAAAGCCAGCCTGAAGGGAGACACCCCCACAGAGGTGGAGGAAATGGTTGCAAAGAGCAGAAGATCCCCATATCGTGGGTGGGGAGACTGTGGGAAGACATTGCCTTAAAGAGTGGAGAAGACCAGCGGAGATCCCCTACTTAGAGAATGAGGATGCAGGGGATGTGAGGGGTGGAGTGGGTGCTGAAAGGGAAAAACTTTCCATTGTGGGGAGCTCGAAGAACGTCCATATGAGGTCAGAATTGAGGGGAGGAAGACCCCCTGGTATGGGACTGAGGGGAGGAGACCCCATATGACAGAGTTTATCGGGGGTCAGTTTGCACCAAGGAAAATGGGGTTGGGGGAAACTACATGAAGGGGACTCCGAAATAGGAAGGGATTAATCTCTCATAGACCCCGTACTGAGGGACCTTATCCTGAGACCTGGTAGCAAGGAATGGAGTGAAGGAGACCCCAAGCTGAAGGGGGTGGAGATCTCTAAAAGTAGACAGATTTCATACTGAAGAGATTTGGGGCAGAGGAAGGAGATGGGGGCAAATGAATGGGAGAGATCTCATATTGAGGAAATGAGTGGTGGAAAGGAACAGGGCAGCTAGGTGGTGCAATGGATGGAGCACCAGGGCCTGGAGTGAGGAAGACCTATGTTTGACAAAGGGGCTTTGTCAAGTGCTTTGCAAACCTTAAATAAAGCGCTATTTATTATTATGACTGGGGAGAAAGTTGGGTGCAGGAGACCCCGTCCGGAAGGGAGCTGCTCCTTCCTGAAGGGTCCAGGCAGCAGCAGGCGGAGGTTGAAAGTTCTCCCAGTGACTTTAGACGGGGGCGGGGCCAGAAGCACCAGGCCCCGCCCCCAGCGCTCTGAGGCCACTCTCCAGCCTGGGTAGAGGGAGAAAGAGAGGAGGGGAGTGTCCATGTAGATCCTGGCGCAGGCGTCCGCCCCTAGCCGAGCTAGCTCGGCTGTTTCCTGGAGAGCGTAGGCACCACCCCTTCCTTTCTTCGCCCCGCCCCCCTCGCTCTTCCTAGCCTGGGCTCCTAACGCCGGGCTCGGCTGTTTGCGTGAGAGCGCAGGCACCGCTCTCCTCCCTCCGCCCCCTTTTCCCCCACCCCGTTCGTCTTCCGCGTTCTGCAGGCTCGGCAGTTTCCGTGAGGGCGCAGGCGCCGCTCTCCTCTTCTCCCACCCCTCCCGCTTTCCCTGCTCTGAGCGCTCGGCTGTTTCCGTGAGCTCCCCTTCGCAGAGCTTGTCTCCGCCTGTCGGGGGCGGGCTCAGCGGCTCGGTCGGTATCATGGCTGCAGCCCTAGCCCTGGCTCCGGCTGCTGCTGCTGCTGCTTCTGTCTCTGCCTCCTCCTCCTCCTCCTCCGCCTCCTCTGCTACTGCTGCTGCTGCCGCCGCTGCTACCGAAGGTGGAGGCCACGCTGCGGGCTCGGGGTGACGGCAGCAAGGAGGCGAGGTGGGTCTCGGCCGGCCGACTGCGGTGGGGCCAGACTCTACCAGGAGGGGCTGGGCCATGCCAGGATTTACAGGTTGGGGGGTGATTATGAGTGGAGGTTCGGGCCATGCTGGGGGGGGCCGGTCTGTACTGGGCCGTGGAGAGGTGTTTCAAGCGGGAGAGGCTGAGTTACACTGAATTGGGGGAGGCTGTCCTTGGAAGAGGCTTTTTGGGGGAGGGAGAGAATCCCAACTGTACTGAGCCACACTGGGAGGTTCTGGGCCATAATGGGTCATGAGGGGGTGGCCACAGTAGAAGAGGCTATGTAATTATATTTGGGGTGCTTTCCTTGGAAGAGGCCTTGACTATATTGGGGAACCCCAGCTATGCTGGATAGAGACTGAGCTATATACTAGGAGGGGTGGTCTATACTGGGCCATTGGAGGGTGGCTTAAGTGGGAGAGAATGAATCATATATTGAATTATATTTGGGGGGCTGTCTTTGAAAGAGGCCTTGACTATATTGGGGAACCCTGGCTATACTGGATGGAGATTGAACTATATTGGAAGAGGCTGGGCTAGAATGGATTCAGTGGTATGGCACTGGAGCTGGGGCTGGGGCTGGCTTTACCAAGAAGGGGCCCCTACTGCTCTAGGTTATACTTGGGGGCTGTAAGCCTCTACAGGGGAGATTAGGCTGTGACAGGGAACATGGGTTATACCAGGAGGATCCGGACTAAAATGGGCAGAGGCAGACCTGGTTGTAATGGGGGCTGACCAAATTGGGGGTGGGGAGGAGGAAGGGGTGCTTGGCCTGGGCCGTACTTGGGAGGACCTGGCCCCAACTGTAATGTGGAGAGGCCTGGGGAGTCCTTCTTCTTTTATGTGTCAGGGAGAAGACAGGACAGGGAAAGGGTCCAGAACCTAGCTCAAGCAGGAAAATGGGGTTCAGGATGAAAGCGGGGCTAACCAGCTGGAATATTGCATGCCTGTGCTGTGTAAGGGTGGGATGCCCAGGGCAAAATGAAGGGATTTTCATTGCTGTGAGGCTGGCTAGGGGCACCCCAGGAGGTGATTGATATGTTCACATAGCCTCTCTCCTTGCTCCTGTCCCCCCACCCCAGCCTGACATGTGAAGGACTCTGTGTTGTTGGCACAAGAGCTCTGGCCTGGGAGTCAAAAGGCACAGATTTGAATTCTGCATACCTGCTTAACGAAGTGATGCTGGGCAGGTCCCTTTCTATCTCTTGGCCTCAGTTTCTCCATTTGAAAATAAGGTGGTTGGACTAGCCCATCAGTCTCTCAAGGCCCTCCCAGCTCAGACAGGCTGTGTTTTGGGTCCTAGGGTTCCTTTCATCTCTGACAGTCCACATTCTGTTGTTCTAAGGTCCCTTCCAGGTCTTAGGCCCCAGGCTTTGTGTCTCCTGCTCAGGCTGACTCTTGATGCTCGGGCCTGTGCCCCTGTGGACCTATTCAAGGGAACAGTCTATGCTTGAGCTGTCCAGGGCCTTCTTCCTGAGCATGCCTGGCCAAGTCTGGCATAGGAAGGGCCAAGTTTAGAAGGGAAGTAGGAAGGAGGGCATCCCTCCAGAGAGAGAGAGAGAGAGATCCTGGCCTGTTGGCTCCCTCTCTGCCTCCCGCCCACGGGCCCTGGGGGCATGTGGAGCCTTGGCCTTTTGGAGGAGGGGAGCAAGGCAGACAGATGCTCTTTGGGGCAGGAAGACCAGCCTGGGGGAGATGGGAAAGCTGAAGTGCCCAGCTCTCCGTTCCCTCCTTCCCCCGCCCTTGGCTTGGCTGAGAGCCCTTCCAAGAGGGCCCTGCTGGCATTGGGCCTCCTGGGATGGGTTTGGACTCAGAGACAGAGCTGGGCCTGCTTCTCCCCCGCCTTTTGGCTTCAGAGCTCCCCCCCTGCAGCAGGCATGATGAGGCTGGCTCTTCTCTGCTGAATGTGCATGTGTACATGCTTCAGAAGAGCCCTGCATACGTGAGTCTGTATGTGCATGCATGTGTGCACGGGAGAACACCCGAGAATGTGAGGGTGGTGGGGGACAATGCAGAGCACGTGTGAGTGTGTGTGGAAGAGTGAAGAGACGATGGGAGAAACACGTGTGAGTGGGTTTGCGGGAACATGCCACTGTCAGAGCGTGCGAGCATGAGAGCGTGTCCATGAACTGCATAAATGTGGGTTGGGAATGGGGAGGGTGGAGGAGAGCCGATCTGCTGGCCTCGCGGCTGATGCTTCTGAGGGGTTCGGGGGTAGAGGTGGGGGGTGTGGAGCCGGGCCAGGATCCATAGACTCAGAGTATCACAGTCAGAAGATAAGGGAGCAGAGGTGGGGGGGGGGGGGGGAAGGGACGTGCCTGAGGTCACAGAGCCGGCCCCAGCCTGGATGCTCTCCAAGGGCTTCTCCATTCAGCTCCTAAGTCACAGGCTCTATAAAGCCTATGTCCAGGCCAGTCCAAGGAAAGCGACCCTTGCAAGGGCAGAAGCCAGGTATGGCCCCCAGGTCACCCTGCAGAGCTGAAGGCTTTGTTCTTTCGTCTGCCTTTCCAGGCTTGCTATGGTCTCCCTTGCAGCTCTGACTCTTGTGAATGATTCCTGCTGCCTTAATCCTCCCCCCCACCCCCATCTGTGATTTTTTTTTTCCTCAATAGCCTTGGGCCCCAGCTGGCCCATCTCCCCATGGGCCGTAGTTGCGAGGCAGGGAGGAGAGGGGGGCACTGTCTCTGGGTCAGAGGTAGGGGTGAACCGTGTCACATCCGTTCATCCTCGACATCTGTGGGGAGTCAGCATGTTCTTGGCAGTTTCTTGCAGTTTGGGATAGGGGCCAAAGCCGCTCCTTAAGAGCGTAGCATTTAGAGCTAGGAGAGACCTCGGAGAACATTTTATCCCCTCATTTTACAGATGGGGAAACTGAGGCCCAGAGAGCCCGAGTGTTATACCTCACAAAGTGCTAGATTCACAACTAGCCCCTCTGATTCTAAACCTGGTTTCCTTTCCGGGGTGTTTGGAGAGCCGGCTGGCTCCCCCATCCGGAATTCAACTTCCCAGCTTGTGGCGGGACCCTGGGATCGTGGAATGTTAGGACTGGAAGACCCTTGAGGGGTATGGAGGCCAACCACGACCTGACGCCGTGTTCCAGACCAGAAAACCTCTGGTAGGAGAAGGAAAGACATCCTCCGGTGATGGGCAGCCCACGCCACATTGGGGCAGCTGGGACGACTAGGGAGTTTTTCTTTATGTTGAGATAAAATCGTCCCTCTACAGTTCCCTGCCTTGGCTTCTGGTTTTAGCTTCAGGAACCAAGCTGAGCAGGCCTGTTTCCTCTGCTCCAGGGCTGTTGCTCCACCATTAGGGGTTCCCCCTTCTTACTTCACGGGGGCCAAGCTGGATGCCTTGGCCCACTGGCAAAGAGCCAGAGAGCCCTCCCCCCAAAGTGCATTAATTCTAAGCCTTGTAACACTGTAGGGGAAGGAGGAACCCCGCCTGCCCCCCACCCGATTCCCCGGGCATTGTAAATTCTCTTTGTGATCTCCTCCGTTAAAGGCCAGCACCTTTACCCCAAAGTCTGGGAATTTAGGCCCTATACATAGATCAGGGCTTCTTGATCTGGAGTCTGGGAATTTGTGTTTTTGGGATTGATAACTGTATTTCATCAGAACTGGTCTCCTTTATGATCCTATGTATTATATTTTATGCATTTAAAATCATTCATCTGAGAAGTCTGAGTAGACCTCAATCGCCAGGCTGCCAAAGAGATTAAGAGCCCTTGGTTTAGATAATAGCACATGTTTATATGATATGTAGTACATATTAAGATATATAATCTGCAACAAGTGGGTGAAACCTGTAGGACAAGTGTTCTCCCCATTTTACCAATGAGAAAACTGAGACAAAACTGGGAGAAGTGACTTGTCCAAGGTCATGCGAAGAGGGAGTTGCAAAGCTGGGACTGGAATTAGTCAGTATCAGCAAACATTTATTAAGCACCTGCTAGGTGCTAGGCACTGGGGAGACAAGTACAAGTGGAGTCAGGAAGACCTGAGTTCACATACAGCCTCAGACTAGCTCACTAGCTGTGTGACCTTGGGTGAGTCACTTAACCTCAGTTTGGGCCTGTTTCCTCATCTGTAAAATGAGGTCAGATTAGATGATGTCTGAGGACCCTTCCAGTTGTAGATTTTTAGTCCTGCCATCTCTGGGACAGACTAGCTGCCTTCCATCTCTGGAATCCTATTTGGTGTTGGACTGATTAGGGGGAGTGTGTGCTCTGGGTCCCCTCTGGGCTCCCTGTATTGGCACTAACAGCGCTCTCTCTGTCTCTTTCCCTCCTGTCTCCTCCCTGTAGGTCCTGACACCCAGCTCCCGATCAGAGCCGTGGCCCCTCCTGGGCACAGACGCTCCTCCCCAGGGCCTAGGCAAGCCGTCTCCCCCAAGGGCCAGAGTATGGTGGTGATACTAGCCCTTTGCTCCATCATCTGGCTGAATCGGGGCTTCAAGCTTCGGAAAAGTGGCTAGGCCCCCTGGCCTCCCGCCCCGCTCTGCTGATACTGCCATCCTCTCCTCTCTCCACCCCTCCGGCCATGTGGCCATTGGCCCATAGCTGAGCTCCTGTCTTCATTGGTCCAGGAGGGGTGCCGCCCCTCCTCACCCGGGCATCATGGCCAGTGCCGAGGGCTTCCAGTACCGGGCCCTTTACCAGTACCACAAGGAGCGCGAGGAGGACCTTGACCTGCTCCCTGGAGACATCCTCGTAGTGAGCAAGGGCACGCTGGAGGCGCTCGGCTTCCAGGATGGGGACGAGCAGAGCCCTCACCACATCGGCTGGATCCTCGGAGTCAATGAGCGTACCAAGCAGAAGGGAGACTTCCCAGGCACCTACGTGGAGTACCTGGGGCCCGTGAAGATTGCCCTGCCCTCCCACCGACCCCGAGGCCACAGGCCACTGCCAGCCACACCAGGGGCAGGGCCTGTCCGTCCCCGGGACTCCCCAGAGCCAGGTAAGTCCCTGCCTCATTGTGGGGGTGTGGCAGAGAGGCAGACTGAGGCGTGGTGTGTGCCAGAGTGGAGTGGACTGCCTCGAGATGAGGAGGTCAGCCCCTCATTGGCAGAGGCTGGGGGGGACGACAGTTTATTCCTTTTTGGATTGGACGGCTTCTGGGGACCCCTCCTTCTCTGAAAGGTAATGATTCCCTGATTTTTCTCCCTGTCAGGGCAGGGCTGCAGAAGGTGGGGATGGGCCAGGCTGGCCCAGAGGCCCCTGCAGAGGAGAAAGCAAGAGTGTGGGGGTCATGTCCTTACTGACTCAGCTCTTTACTGAGTGCCATGCTGAATACTGGGAGGGTGATGGGAGAAAACCAGGCCCTGTCCTCAGAGAGCTTCCAGGCTCCCTGGGGAGCTGGAAGAATACAGGACAGTATGTTAGCAGGAGAGATTATCTGGTTCTATCTCCTTTGATTTTTCACATGAGGAAACTGAGATCCAGAGAAAGGAAGAAAATTCCCCAGGGTCACACAGGTGGAACCCAAGGCCTCTGATTCCACATCTGGAGTCTTTATATTGTGGCTGGCTGCCAGAAGGGAAGGGGAGAGAGCTCCATGGCCTGGAGCAATAGGCAAGGGCTTCCTGGAGGAGGAGGCAGAGGGTAGGGAGGGCCAGGGGCTGGGCTTTGCAAATGGGGTAGGCCAGCCTATGCTGGCTCTCCCTGCCATGGGAGCAGGCACTGCCTGGTCCTGCCCAGCTCTGCGAGGACATGCCCCAGACTTTCCCATGTTCTGCCAACGAGTCTACCCCACCTGGCTTGTCAGGACAGAACAGATGTACCTTCTCGCAGGCCCCAAACTCAGTGAAGCTTTTCCCTTCCCTTTAACGGTGGCCAAGGCAGGAAGGGAGGACGTGGCAGGGAGGGGCCTCTGGAACCATTGACTTTCCTCCCAAAGCCTGGTCGTTCTGCCCCCACCCAGCCTCCTGCTAGTTCAGGAAAAGTGTCTTGTCTCTGAGCCTCAGTTTCCTCTTCTGTCAGAGGGAGAGAATAACTCCTGCCCTGCCTTCCTCATAGGGCAGTTGGGAAGCACATGTGAGAGAGTGGAAAGCACTTCATCTCTTAGAGAGAGCCTTTGTGGTGTGCTGGTCAGAGTGCAGAGAGAACTAGGTTCGAATCCCACTCTGATGCTTCCTAGCTGGAAGCAACCTCTCTGCGCCTCGGTTTCTTCATCTGTAAAATGGAGACAAAACTAAATTGTGCTCTCTACCTCATAGGGTTGTGGTGAGATGCTTTGCAAACCATAAAATGCTATTCGTGTAATAACAACAACAACAGAAGTGAGAAACAGCCACCTGTGGTGCAGAGAGCACAGGGTTTGAGTCTAGGCTCCAGGCCCTTGTGGTCACACCTCCCTGCCAGATTCTAGCAGTGGAGGTATCTGAACAAAGAGACTCTGCTTCTGCCGCTGAAAGACAGGCTCGTTGCAGGGCCAGATTGGGACACCATGGTGGCGGGCCATCAGAGGATAGCGGGATGGAATTGGGCGGGGGCAGATGCCAAGAGCTCCACAGGACTTTGCCCAGGTTCTCTGCACCTGGCCCTGGCAGAGTGGAGAGGAGGTAAAGGGACAGAAGGGAGATGGGGGAATATGCAAGGCCACACTTCTGAGGTTCCTTGGTAGAAGATGGTCTGAGTGAAGCTGGGGGCCTGGTCACAGTCCCTACCCGTGTCCCAAAACTGTGGGGAGGAAAGGCTTTGGAATCGTAGAGCATGATAATAGAAACAAGTGCTGGTGATTAGGATAGCCCAGGCCACTGGAGAAGGTGCCTGCTGAGGGTAGCTTTCCTGCCTTAGAACACAGAAGGTCAGAGCTGGGAGGGCCCTTAGAACCCAGAATGTCAGAGCTGGGAGGGCCCTTAGAACACAGGATGTCAGAGCTGGGAGGGTCCTTAGAACCCAGGATGTCAGAGCTGGGAGGACCCTTAGAACCCAGGATGTCAGAGCTGGGAGGACCCTGAGAACCCAGGATGTCAGATCTGGGAGGGTCCTTAGAACCCAGGATGTCAGAGCTGGGAGGGCCCTTAGATCAAAGGATATCAGAGGTGGGAGGGCCCTTAGAACCCAGGATGTCAGAGCTGAAAGGACCCTGAGAACTCAGGATGTCTGAGCTGGGAGGGCCCTTAGAACCCAGGATGTCAGATCTGGGAGGGTCCTTAGAACCCAGGATATCAGAGCTGAGAGGACCCTTAGAACTCAGGATGTCTGAGCTGGGAGGGCCCTTAGAACCCAGGATGTCAGAGCTGGGAGGGCC